GGGGAGAGAAAGAAAGGAAGGAAAAAAAAGAGAGAGAGAGGTTTTCACTCCCGCTCATGGGCAGCCCCGTGGCCCCACTTAAACGCGCCACACGCAGCTCACTAGTTAAACAAGCCTTTAAAATACAGAAGCCAGGAGAAAGGAATAAAACGGATTCGGTTACTGCCAGTGCCCAGATACCCCTGCTGTGAAAGGCAGCGGGGATCCGGACACCCCAGAGAGCAGAGAGGGGAAAGGAAGGGGGCGGCGGGAGTGGAAGGAGAAAGGGATGCGGAGAAATACAAAAACGGAAAATCCCCTTTCCCAAGGAGATGCCCACCTTTTCCTCTCACCCTAGAGCTCGCGCTGGCAAGGGGACATCCCTGCCCTCTCCCTCCCTCTGGGACAGCGGACGGTCCTGACCTAGCCTAGCCCGGAGCTGAACCAAACCACCCGGGTGCAATGGGGAAAGGCGAGGCTGGCAGACCCTGACGTTGCTTTCCCTTACACAAACATGCTAGCCTCGCGAAAGGCTGTTATCTCTGTGCGGAACCCCCTCCTGACTTCTGCCGCTACAGGCGCGCTCGGGGTCCCGGCAGCTCACCCTTCAGGACACAGCCGAGGTGGCTCTGCTAGGGACCATTTCCCTTTTCCACTACGTTTTTTCTATATACAAATAAATGCACACACGCTCACACACCCGTCTATATATATATGCACACTCACATATAGATTAGTGTAACTCGCCTCCCCCCGCCCCCTGGCTAAAATGCATTTTCAATGCTTTGGCTGTAGAAGCCGCCTCATAATTCAGCCTTACAGCTCCTTCCCCTTTCCTTCTGCACGCTCCCACCTTGAACCGAGAGCTCAAGCCTTCCAGCACGAGTGAAAGGGAAACTTCTCGCTGACAACTCCACATAGAAAATAATGGGTTTCTGGGGTTACACCCTGGAGCGGGTGGCGGGGCTCCTCGTCTCCCGTGGAGGAGCGAGGGAGCAGTTCACCCATCAGTAGATGAACAAGAGAAAATGCGCCAGCTCGCTTTTCTACAGCTGCACAGCTTCGGCTCCCACCGAATATTCCTTAGCCAACTTCCTTGGCATTAAGTGAAATTAACATAATTCCGCAAGTATATATGTACGCACACACACACATACAAACACACATACATACAGGTATGCAATCCACATAACCATAGAAGCTGCTCTTAAAATTGAGCTAATATTCATACACTCTGCTTTCCACTTCATTAGAGATAATCTGCGATATATATTTGTGGGTATATATGTTTATGTAGGTGCTTATTCAGACCTTTTGTCTATAGAGGTGTACTCAGCTTATATTCAGATATACCAACTTCCAAATTATAACGTTCTGTGAAAAAAAAAAAAGATGGCTAAACTGCAAAAGAACAGAGCAACTGCCAAGTCTATGAATTAATAGGTACAAAAGTTGGGGGGGGGATTGCCCAAGTGTCTCACAATTATATATTAGCTCAGACTCTAAATCAAAGCCGACTTGCACATAATATATATCTCTTATTTTAAATATTGTAGCAAACGAAACATATTGTGTAGAAACTTTACAAATATGCTTTTTTTTTTGTTTAAATTATGCCTGCTGATTTCTCGCAAGAGGTAAGTAAGCACATCTCAGTCTCAAACGTGTTTGTTTCTTTTGAAATTAGTGAAAGGACGACACTTAAAAGCACCCTTTCCAAAGGGCATTTAAAAGTAATGCAAAAAAGAGTGGGTTGTTTTTCATCGTAGTAAAACTTTTAGAATAATCTCATAATATGCCTTAAAGGAACGATCTGCTTGTGAATTGTGCAATGGAGAACGAAAGATTTTCTTTATTTTAATTCAGAATTACAAGGAAATTAGAAAGGTGTCTTAGGTGGGAGATATCTGCTCCGAAACTTTCTGTAAACAAAACAGTGTCCATACCTCAGTGCAAAGTTCTGGTTTGGCAAACCCAGTAGACGATACTAAAGCGGATCGCCATGACCCAGGAGTACAAATAATAAACACACTCGAAATTCCTGCTTTGGTTTCTCTATAGTGTCAGGATTGGCAACTCTCACATTTTATCAGTTACCAGATTTTAATGTGAGGAAGGAAGCGGTTCCATTATCTAAATATACCCAATTGTTCGCGAACAGATGATGGGCAATTTGATCTGCTCTGTCTAATTCATCAGTACAGATAAGATAAGAAAGAAAAGGCAGTCAGATATCACCAAAGGGGTTAATATTTAAAAAGATTAAATGTCAGTTTTTTAGAGAAGAAACATTTCAGACTAGGTCTTAACCTTGCCATAAATGGATCCTTCCTTCTAAAAGAAACTTGGGTTTTGTTTTGGTTTTGTCTTGTTGGCTTTTTTTTTTTTGTGGGCCTAGTTTAAACAGGTATACTTGCCCATGTATTTATTTTTACAGCGTACATGCTTGAAGTGCCTTTCTTATGAATGCCATTGTGCCTTTGCAAAACACAGAGATGCATTTCTCAGGTTGTGTTTAAAAACGATCAGTTCCGTGTTGCTTATAATCCCTACACTAGTGAAAACACTCTTGCATACTATTTCCCACTTTGTCAGAATCACAGGGTACATTGCCAAAATCCTCAGGAGGGTCTCAATCTCTAGTTGTTTCCGAATGTTTTTGCATTTATACAGAGATTTGCACTTTAATTTACGCAATAAAAATTTTTGACGTCTCGAACTTTTTTCCGTTTACCTTTGGGGCAGTTACTTAAAAATATAACAATTGTCCTTTCACCCTCTTCCTCAATATTTTTCCTCTTCCTACCTCTCTCAGATTTATAAAGTTAAAAAAAAATCTCACCGAAGAATTAAACAACGTAAATGGCGTACCTGATATAATCTCTTTTACAGTAGGTTTTGCCATCCCTAACAAAGCACGTACAGGTCTCGTCCAAATACTGATTACACTCTGCACACTTCAAACACGCCGCATGCCATTCCAAATCCGGAGAAACCCTCAGAATATACTGATCGTGAATTTGATTGCCGCAACCAACACATAGGGAAATCAGACGTTTTTCTGAAATGAAAATAAATACATGATTGACTAACCGTTTACTCTCCTACAGAGATAAACACACTTTTAGTGTCGTTCCCTTATAGGGCGTACTCTGGGAGTGGTTTTGTTGTTGTTGTTGTTGTTCTTTTATTTAAGAGTATTACAGTTTTGGATGGTAATTGAAGTGTGCCATCAAAACCTTGCCTCGTCTAGGAAGGAGGCGGAACATATGTTAAAATGTAGATGTGAACAGTCTTCAGGGTGGAGGTCCTCATTTCGTAAGCCTTGCACGGAATCAAAACTCCAAACTCCCTCGT